AGTATACTTGATATATGGGTATGGTTAGAATAAGAATACTGGGACCTTGCAATAGTGGAAAAGATGGCATGTTCAGTCATAAGAACATAAGAGGGCCCATCTGTCCACATCTCCTGTTCTCACAGTGGCCAACCAGGTGTCTATGGGAAGCTCACAAGCAAAACCTGTAATTAACTTCCCCTGCCATTAGTGGGAAGGGGAGGCTGAGGATGAACGTCATTCCCAATCTGAATCCAGACACAACCCTAGAGTCCAAGTCAAGGTGGAAAGCTCTATTTGGAAATCAAACACACCAGGCTTGTTGAATATGAGTAAAAAAGAACAGGAAATAGTCTAGTATATTCATACTCTCAAACACACATGACAAACTTCAATGAAACTCTTCTCTATCTGAGATTAACAGATGTTCCCCATTTTTCTCTATCTCAGCAATTTAAACTACTATCTTCAGTTTTCAAGCCTAAGATACATTATTATAGGATACATCATAATGATATACTGTATGTTCATATACAGTATCCCATACAATGACTAGTTGATTTATAATTCAGATCCAATAAAGGGGAAAATTGGTTTTAACTGATGATCAGTGAAATAATAAATGCATTAAAATGTTTGAAAAGAACATCCTTTTCTAGCAGTCATGGTGACATAATAAAATTAAATATGGATATCAGATAATGACCGTTATTATTAGGCAAGGGAATATAAATGGGGTTTGGAAGGCAATCGTGTAGATCAAATAAAGCCAAAGAACAATGAACAAATAAAGAAAATACGCTTATAGAAATTAAACAAAGTTTAAAATTTTGTGAAGTGTGTATAAAATAGAAATATAATGCTACTGATTTTGTTCTATACTCTAAATTAGCTCCAATGTGAGAGTTGTTGTTGAAAACTCCACCATGTATATTGTATTGACAGTGCAATGTATTATATTATCTATTTTACTCTGTGGTATAATCCATTTGCTGGGCAAATTCTGAACTCTTCAACCATTTTCTAGCCTGAAAAAACACCTGGGAGATACAGAATACTAAGTGGATTCAGAACTACATGAAAAATATTCAGCTGAATGACAGTATACATCAGGAGTAGGGAAATGGATGTAGCTAGTGGGTCAGATCCTTACCTCCCCCATGGATCAACTTTGACAAATTGGATGGGTCAGTCACATGACCTAATTATGGCATTAGGTTACTAGCCTATAAAATATTCTCTAAAATAGGATAGTCATGAGTATCCCATCATGAAAGATTTATCTGAGAAACCTTTTAGTCATGAAGAGTATCTTACTGCAATATTATGGTCCCTGGCAGGGTGTCCAGGAGCCATAGGACAAATTTGATATTCCTCCAGTGGAGGAATATTCAATGTCAGATTTTCACTGGCAAACCCCCCCAAATCTCTCCTTCCCTCTTTCCTCCCATTTCCCCAAATTGGATGGGGAAAGGGGGTTGGGGTTAAAACACAGAAACAAATGGAGGAATAAATTATCATTCTTTTGCCCTGCCACCTAAAGCCCAGATATGGTGGTCAGCTGCCTTTGGATTTCATCACACACCCCACTTTAGGGCTACAGAACTGAACACATAAATTTGTGTATAGTACAAATACCTATCCATGCACTCAGTTATTTTCACAAATTTTATACTTGTCCATTTGTTACTTATCTAGCCAGAACGTAATGAAATTCAAAGCATCTTATAATGACGGGAACAATGTTTAAAAAGGTCGATTTGGTTTATGTACAAGATCATATAACAAGATCAGTACTTACATTCAAACCCAAACCTGTTATCAAATATAAAGAGATTTCTGCAATATTTTATGGCACAGTAGAAGAAATGATTGTAGGGCATCCACACTTGGTTTATAAACTAGTTGGTACTGGCTGGAAGGCAGGGGCAGCAGAATGATCTCCCAGCAGCAGAGTTGTCGCTGGCTACTGGGAGGGAGGCGATGAGGATGCTGGTGCTCTGTGGGAATGCCATTGGGAGAGGAGGAGTGGCTTCCTGCTGGCTGCTACTGAAACAAGTGTTTTCCAATACTTTATTTCCACTCAGACATACTTTGTTTATTTTCTATTTTTGTATGCCACACTATAACCAAGTTCTCAAGGCACCTTCTTTCCCAGTTTGCTAATATTTCAATTTATTAAGGAGGAGGTAAAAGCCCAAGGAGAACCTCAGCACATTGTACTAAAAGAGAATCAGAAACCAGAAGTGAAAATTAACATCAGCATTTCAAATATATAGCACCTGCCCTTTCATATTATGTTTTGAAATGAGACTGGATTTATTGGTGTACTGGAGATAATGCAGCAAAGGAAAGAAGGTATGCCTATTCCCTTGATTGTGCAATAAACTTAAAAAAACCCTAACTTTTATTGCACTGTCTCCTTCAGAAATATTTGATAACTACAGCCATTGATCATACCACTGGTTTAGTTATAAGTGTTTAATCTGCCAGTACTAGAATGCCAATGATTTCCTGGTAAATCTACTTGATATTGGAACCTACCTTCCTTTACTTTACTAAGGGTGCAATATATATCTAGTTTCCTGGGAATAAGCCCCAGTGAATTCAGTCGGATTACATTTGAAGAGACATGTGTAGCATCGTGCTGCAAAGCAACATTTATTTTGAAAAGTATTAATATGAAGTGTACAAAGAGTATACACAAGCTGGTGCCAAATGTATTGCTCTGCTTTCCTTTGGACCACATCAGTGAGGCTGGGGGGGGGGTTGTCTTCTGAGCAGCCCAGGACCTCCATACACACTGCTCAAGCTTTGTACCCCAGGGAGGTCACTTCACCCCTCCTAACATAGTGGTTTGACTTCACCACTGGAGGCACACTCATTGGCTCTCAAGACAGACGAGCCTCTTGAATTTGCACAGCATCACATTTCTACATGTGTACACCCATATATTATAGGCATGCCCAGGTGTTTACCTGAATACATGATAGGTTTAACAATTAAGTGTGGTAGTAAAGGTAAAGGTAAAGGGACCCCTGACCATTAGGTCCAATCGTGACCGACTCTGGGGTTGTGGCACTCATCTCGCTTTATTGGCCGAGGGAGCCAGCGCACAGCTTCCGGGTCATGTGGCCAGCATGACTAAGCTGCTTCTGGTGAACCAGAGCAGTGCACAGAAACACCGTTTACCTTCCCGCCAGAGTGGTACCTATTTATCTACTTGCACTTTGAGGTGCTTTCGAACTGCTAGGTTGGCAGGAGCAGGAACCGAGAAATGGGAGCTCACCCCGTCATGGGGATTTGAACTGCCGACCTTCTGATCGGCAAGTCCTAGGCTCTGTGGGTTAATCCACAGTGCCACCCGCATCCCATTAAGTGTGGTAGGGGCATGTATATAAGCTCCACCTCCAGTGCCCCTTGCCATGTGGGCTCCTCTTCAGACCTTTGAGCATTTAGGGTTCAGCTGAATGCAATTAGAAACCTTCCTGCAGTGAGGAGCCCTGTCTTATCACAAGGAGTCTTATCTGGGAGTTGGAACCCTCTTCAGACATCTGCAATTAATGAACAAAGATCTGAAGAAGAGTTGGGGAACAGTTTAACCCTTTCTGTGTTCAGGCAAAAGCCTGAAGATACTGTCTCTTCTTGGACACCATTTTCCTTTATAATCACATTTCAGAGGCAATCTCACATTTTCTGGTAACATTTTGCAAACCTATAAAAAATGCCCCTTCATGATTTTAACAAGATTGACACATGTCACCCTGTGTTCTCATATCTAAAATTACTTTGCAAAAAAATAAAGAAATATGAAAATTGGCAAGAAATTGTTCCATCAAACAGTTCCCTTCTTTTTATAAATTAGATGGTCAAGATGTTAACTTTGATTACATCTATTATCCGAACACTGGAATGATAGCATAAAATTGTCTAGATATTCCCGCCTTTAGATTTTTATTTAAGTAATAGCACTTAATACTAATGGTGATATTTGGTTGAATTGTAATATTTTTTTTCCCAAAAAACTATACTTTAGTTACTAGTTGATGCTCTCAAAGCACCAGTCAACAAGGATTTTGGTAATTTCTGAAAAAGGTTGCTTTATATCAGTACTTTGTTTCATTATGCATGTTCTTTATTAAATGATAATATTAAAGAATATCAGACGAAGAAGAATAGTTACCAAAATTCCTTCTATGTGATACTATCAGTTGTCTCTGTGCCTTATTATTTGGTATTGTTTTCAAATTGCAGCCGTTTTTATATTCATAATTTATTTAAGTGGCTGCACCAGCGTTCCAATCCATTTGTCAATTGGTAATTTATAAGCTATCGTAAACATTGTTCAATCAGCAGATCATATTTACTCTGAGAAAAGACTATTACATGTCATGGAATGATTTTTGCACACATACACACACAGGAGAGTTCTTTCTGATATGTTATTATTTCTTTGTTTGCTGAGGCTACATACATCAGTAACTAAATGCCACTGCGAATTTCTATGCCTCCTTCATCAATCAAAATGGATCAATTAAAGACTAGTGAAACTAGATCAAAACTCCAAAGCTGTATGGTCATATTACCACTTACATTATTACTAAAAAGCCACATCTATATTCAAAACTGAGATACTATAACCCCTTTGTCATTTTCCAATAAAAAAAGCCCATACCAAATAGGCAGAGCACACCGTAATTAGCAGCTGGCAGAGAAAGCTGTAAATCTGTATGAGTTCTGAACGATTTGCTTACATTGTTGCTTTGTTGACAAATGATGCTGTACATGTTAATGTTCCTGAAATGTCCCCATTGCACCTGACGTGCCAATAAATGCCAGCCAGCTGTATGAATTATGGAAATAAGATTTTTGTTTATGAAGGTATCCCAGACATTTATTTTACTGCATGCCTCTTGACAGATTTAATGTCTGGAGTTACATTGAGAAGATATTTGCTACCTGACAGAATGGATAATGAAAACTTTAGAGCCCCCCTTTTCTTAAAAAAAAGACAGTGTGTATGTATGTATGTGTGTGTGTATATATATATATATATATATATATATATGCGCACGCACACACATTTTACCTTGTGTCTACACATTTTACTCTTGGTATAAACCCTGAATATTTTAAATGAAAGGAAGCTAAATTGTTCATAATATACAATAAATTGGATGTATCGGTACTGCAGTATATAACTAGATGAACACTCTCTACAAGAGCTACTAAAACAAAGATAGTCTATACAGTGTTATCTGTTTTTGTAATAGATGACTTTCCCTCCTATCTATGCACAGTATCTAATCTGCATGCAACAATGCTCAAACTTTGGCATCCTTGAATATGGTAAAAAAATAAAGCTAGTAAGAAATTTATTTAGAAGAATAGCTATAAAATGTATATCCACATGCTTTGACAAGCTAGAATGAATGTATTTATGAATAATGAATACTGCACCCACTCACAAATAATATTGAAAATTAGCTTAATTCACAATAAGAAATCCAATCAATGTGAAGTATTCTTTAAAAATGCATGCACTGAAATGATAAGCCTTGAAGTCTAGGCAACTGACAATTACTAAAATAAAATAAAAAGTCAGCTTTTAAAAACCTTCATTCTCAAGCTCAGAACTTGTATGTGTTCAGAATACTTTGATAATTTGAAATACCATGTGAAGACATCTTAAAATATTTCAAGATAAGAGAGATCTTGATGTTCTATTTTATTCTGCAAAGTTTCAATGATTGGCAAGTTGGGTATAGCATGATAAATTATGAACTGGCCTATTTGGTAGACAAAAACTAATTTTCTGTTCAATAGATTCCATATTCCTCTAATATAGGAAACTGTTTCTGGTTGTTGAGATGCTGCAGGGAGGGAGGTGAACAGAAGAATTGTAAGATAAATAACATACATTTATGGGACGTGGGTGGCGCTGTGGGTTAAACCACAGAGCCTAGGGCTTGCCGATCAGAAGGTCGGTGGTTCGAATCCCCGCCACGGGGTGAGTGCCCGTTGCTCGGTCCCTGCTCCTGCCAACCTAGCAGTTCGAAAGCACGTCAAAAATGCAAGTAGATAAATAGGTACTGCTCTGGCGGGAAGGTAAACAATCTTTCCGTGCGCTGCTCTGGTTTGCCAGAAGCGGCTTAGTCATGCTGGCCACATGACCCGGAAGCTGTACGCCGGCTCCCTCGGCCAATAAAGTGAGATGAGCACCGCAACCCCAGAGTTGGTCACGACTGGACCTAATGTTCAGGGGTCCATTTACCTTTACCTATGAAGCTTACCATCTTTGGGAAGATGTAGGACCAATTGCTACATTTCCCCAGTGCTCACATGGTGGTGGAAAGGAAAAGAGTGGCATCCCAAATAATCATGGGCCTATGTTTTCCTCTTCTCCCCCCATCCTTCTTATATCACTGCCAACATTTTGGGTTGTAGGTCTCTTTGTATGTTCTTGAGCTCCCTAAGTTCTCCTAGCTCTCAGTTATCCAGCCTCTCAGACATGGGAAGCTCAGTCATATTTCAAAGAAAACAAATTTATCTGGAACAGTACATGAAACTTGTGTGGAATTACTAATATTTAAATATACCGGTATGTCTCTGCTTCCACTGAAAAGACATTTGTGTGTGTGTAGGTCTGCCCTGTTTACGTCGGGTCCAGTCCCACCCATTACAATATAGCTCCTGACAATTTTCCAAGAGTAATATGGCCCTTATCCCTCCCAAAAAAGTTTTTCATCTCTGGACTACACTAACAGGATTTCAGGAGGAGTCTTTCCTCACCCTAATTGTAGATGTCAGGGATGGAACCTGGGACCATCTGCATGGAAATCTAGTACAGTACTCTGCCACTGAGCTATGGCCCTTCTCCAAACATTATTGAGGTCATCTGTCTTGGACCTGGTCCTCACCAACAGGGAAGAACTGATCAACAAAGTGGAAATACTCAAACTTGGGAGGAAATAATCATGTCCTCCTAGGTTTCATGATACATAGGCAAGGGGAAGCTGAGTGTAGTCAGACGTGCACCCTAGACTTTAAGAAGGCTGATTTCAAAAAGCTTAAGGAACTATGGGGTAAAGTCGTGTGGTCAGAAATACTCAAAGAGAAGGTAGTCCAAGACAGATGGGAATTTCTGAAAGGTGAAATATTGAAGGCACAAGGCAGACAATTCCAACCAGAAAGAAAAGTGGAGGGTACCTAAAGAAACTGGTGTAGCTGCATAAGAAGCTTACAGATGAGCTGAGATGTAAGAAAGGAATGGATAATAAATGGAAGAAAATATAAATAATGAAGGAAGAGTTTATATAAGTAGCCAACAGCTGCAGGGAGATCAGACAGTCAAAAGCTGAGAATGAACTCAAGTTTGCCACAGTGGTTAATGTGGCTATGTCTGAAACAAGGGAAAGAACAAGCAAGTTGTAAGTCCCTGGCATAGGGAGGATGGAGAAATGCTACTGGGTGACAAAGAGAAGGCTGAACTGCTCATCACCTACTTTGCCGCTGTCTTCACCCAAAAGGAAAGCAGTGCCCAACCTGACAATAGCATAATAAATGATGTAAGGAGGGAGCTGCACCTCAATACAGATAGGAAAAGAGGTAGTAAGGGAACACCTAGCTACTTTTAATGAATTCAAATCTACAGAGCCTGATTAGCTGAACTCAAAGGGAATAAAGTTTATGGATGTACAGTGGTACCTCGGGTTACATACGCTTCAGGTTACATACGCTTCAGGTTACAGACTCTGCTAACCCAGAAATAGTGCTTCAGGTTAAGAACTTTGCTTCAGAATGAGAACAGAAATTGTGCTCCGGCGGCCCGGCGGCAGCAGGAGGCCCCATTAGCTAAAGTGGTGCTTCAGGTTAAGAACAGTTTCAGGTTAAGAACGGACCTCCGGAACGAATTAAGTACTTAACCTGAGGTACCACTGTTTTCTCTGAGCCTCTTTCTATAATCTTTGAGAATTCTTGAAGAACAACTGAGGTCCCTGTGGACAGGAGATGGACAAATGTTGTCCCCAAATTCAAAAAGGGGAAGGGGAGAAGACCCAGGTAACTACTGACTAGTGAACTTGACATCAATACTAGAAAATTAAACAGCTGGTATGTGAGCACTTAGAAAAGGATGCTGTGATTACTAAGACCCAGCATGGGTTTCTCAAAAACAAGTCATGCCATATGAATCTTAGTTACTTTTTTGAATAGAGTTACAAGCTTGGTGGATGAGGGAAATGCTGTGGATGTAGTGTATCTTGATTTCAGTAAGGCGCTTGACAAAGTCCCCCATGATAATCTTCCAGAGAAGCTGGTAAAATGTAGACTGGGTGACATAACTGTAAGGTGGATTTATAGCTGATTGACTGATCAAACCCAAAGAGTGCTTACTAATGGTTCTGCGTCATTCTAGAAAAAGATGACGGGTGCCACAGGGTTCTGTCCTGGGCCCGTTGTTGTTAAACATCTTCATTCATGACTTGGGTGGATGTATTGAGGGTATGCTCATCAAATTTGCAGATGACACCAAATTGGGAGGGGAAGCCAATGCCACTGAAAACAAAAATTGGATTCAGTATGACCTTAACAGTTTGGAGAACTGAGTTGGACTAGATGACCCTCAGGATCCCTTCCAACTCTACAATTCTACAACTCTATGATTAACAGGACTAATGTCTAAGAGGTCACCCCAAATTTGTGATGCCCTCAAAACCACTGTTAGTTCTGTCCTTTCTACTTAGTTTTAGATTACAATAGCAGTAACATTTGGGTGAAGAAGAACAGTTCAATTGGCTACATGTATTGGGAGGTTTCCCTCAAGGCTTATTGGTAGCTGGCAGCTTCTTGAGTTATTGGTATGGAAGACATTGGGAGGTCTCAACTAAATGAATAAGACAATACATTAATGATTATCAGAGTGAGGTTGCAAAAGGGTGCCATGATTTCAAATGTATGGCATTTCTCGAAGTCTTTATTTAACTCACAGAGTGCTGTAGTGTCTTACTGTCTTGTCTACACCACTGAAATGGCAGCAGTGAGAAGTATAGTATTTCTGATTCCCACAGCCCAAACATGGAAGATTGTTATAGCTTATGCTGCTAAGTTGCACAAGTTAAAAGGGACCATAGCAGACTGTTCAGAACAGATAGCTGGCATGCCATATTCCCTAGAGTGGTGTCTCAGGAAAAGTAGTTAAACTCTTGGTTTTGTGCTGTACACAATGAAAAGCCACCTTTTGGATGGGTCTGGGGCTCCATTCAGGCAAAAGAGAAATTGAAGTGGAAGAATGTGAAGAATGTCCTTCAGAGTCCACATAACTCATAATACCTTAAGCCACTGCAGCCAAGTTTGGCACATGTAGATAGTGAATCATGAGAACCTGGACTTGAATTAAATTGACCCATATGGAAAGGGCTATTTCACACATTTTTCTACCATGTTCATTTCTATCATAATGATACAGCCTAAGAAATACGATCATAGCTCCAAACTTGAGGGACATAATCCCAGTTCCTAAATGAAAACATTTTGCTGTATTATAGTGAGGAGGAATGTTAGCCAACCCAATTTCAACTTCTTTAGCCATATATTTTGGTGTCCTTTTATTCAGTTCCAGCTCCTACTAACCATTTATCAAATTGTTGCTTTGTTATTTATTTGTTAGATTCACTTTGCATGTACAAATCAGTTCTTGCTGAGTTACTCATGTCTCCCCCTCCTTTTTCCCTTAAGAAAAAGGGAAACAAAGAGCCCAGATGGTTAAAATTATTTTAAAGCAAATATTTAGTGGTTGCAGCTCAATACTTCTGGCACACGCTCACCATTATAAAACTGACACTGTGCTTTGCTGTGTTTATTATATTCCCGAGGTCTAGGCAAATGAATACCTAGGAGTCTCCTCTCACACATCTGTAAACATATTATGGCACCATTAGTAATGACAGAAAAACTAAGGATGCCTTGAATACAGAAATAAGACTGTCCAAGATGGCACTGCTGAATTATGTGTATTCTGGCCTTTTCAGGAACCCATTACTCTAACAAACACACCTCCTGTACTCAAAGTATATAAAAAGTTAAAGAATCCAGCTGAACTACAGTAGGATGACCGAACCACTTCTTAATTAGAAATATTAATAAATGCCTACATAGCAATGATGCTTGCTTTTGGACTGTCACCACAGCAGCCAAATGGGTAGTGTTCCTTGTAAAGGCAGTTCACCTAGTGCTGATGCTTTGGGCGTTATAGCATCAGGCAAAGACCAGTTTGATTGGGCATTTATTGGATGCTAGCTCCAGACAGAACTGGATGCCAATGGAAGCTCCAGAACTGTTCTATGATGCAATTTAGTGTTCTTTTTATCTGTTCTTAATGGGATGGATTGTTCTTGTTTTAATCATGTTATAACCCGCCATGTGATGAAGGGTGGACTAAAAATATACTACTGTATGTTTATTAGTATACCTCAACCAGAGAAATATTTTTCACATGACATTCTTTCATATGGCTACATCAAAAAAAGCTCTGACTTCATTTTGCTTACAATGCATGACTGTACTCAGTCCCTGCAATGGGTGCCAGTGATGCTGCTCAGAAGGAAAGAGATAAAGAAAGGGACGATGTGTCGGGGAGAAAGGAAAAAAAAGAGAAAATGCTGTTAACGTCTCTGTTGGTTGAATAGCTCAGGTTTATGTGATACAATAATTAGTGCAGAACACATAAAATCGTGAGGGAAAAATAAATATCAATTACCAAAGAAAGAAGAAACAATGAGAGTGCTAGCAAGATCTCCCAATAATAGCAGCACAGGCTATTTTATTTATTTCTTTTTTTAAGCGGCGGTTCTGTCTGCTATGAACAACATCCCAACTTTTCAGTGAATTATAGCCAAGAGTTATACATTTGGACCAGTGTGAAGGGGCTGGCCATGATTTCAGATTGTGGTATTAATTGTGGTATGAACACTTAAGCTTTTTGGCACTGTCACACAGTAAAGCATGAGAATGTTGCATTACAGACGACTAGTCTCATATTACTATCACAATACAGGCTATATAATGTGACCAGCAGGCACAATTGTTGCCTAGGGAAAATTCTAAGGTACACTGTTTTCTGTGTTTTGTGCATCTGATATGTATAGGGTTTTTGTTTTTTTAAAGGAAGTAGTTAATGCATTTTGGGTTTTATTGCAATTGTTTTGCTCCTCCCGTTTCTTTTTGTTAAGAGACTAACAACATTCCCTCTTAAACCAGAAGGTTTCAAGGTAAAACTATGTATCACCTCACACAAGAAGTGGTTTGCTTTCGTCAGTTGCTGACCCACTGTACACTTGCAACTCCTACTGGCATTAGAAGGAACAGAGTGCAGCAAAGGAACTTTAATGAGACACTCACAGACTTGTTTGATGAGACTAGGGCAATGGAGCTTATTCCACTTAGTTAAAGTTGCTAAGAAGAAATTACGATGAGCCCATTATTTCCCCTAATGGATCTTTCTTCTGTTATTTTCTCAGCTTGGAAACTGCTGCACCATGGCTTCTTCTTGCAATGCAAAGTGGGGGTGGGGAAGCTGTGGCCCTCCAAACACTGTTGGACTCAAACTCCCACCAGGCCCAGTTTGCATGGCCAGTGATCAGGGGTGGTGGGGGCTGTAGCTGAACAGCACCTCGACGACCAGTTTCCCCATCCCTGCTGTAAAGGGGATGGTAGAAATGGCAGGCTGTGGGGAAACAGCTTGTGCTATGGTTCCTCCCCTAAATCAACATCATCCCTCAGGGAAACTGAGACCACACTGGTGTCAGCAGAAGTCACACTATGTGCTCCTCCATCTGATGTCCACCTAATCTTGCAACGATAAGGTAATGTGAGA